ATAGGGTGCTGGCAGATTACGGGCCTCCCATAGCTGCTGCCAGGCCCCTAATCTGCCATGGGCCCCTATACTGCCTCCTCATGCTGCTGCCAGGTCCAGAGTCTCTCATGGGTCCCTGTACGGCCTCCCATTGCTGCTGTCTCCATCGCCACACTCTGCCATGTGCCACTTTCAGGTCTCCTCACACTGCTGGTGTGTTCCATTTTTTGTCATAGGGTGCTGGCAGATTACGGGCCTCCCATAGCTGCTGCCAGGCCCCTAATCTGCCATGGGCCCCTATATACCGCCTCCTCATGCTGCTGCCAGGTCCAGAGTCTCTCATGGGTCCCTGTACGGCCTCCCATTGCTGCTGTCTCCATCGCCACACTCTGCCATGTGCCACTTTCAGGTCTCCTCACACTCCTGCTGGTTTCCATTTTGTCATAGGTTGCTGGCAGATTACAGGCCTCCCATAGGTGCTGCCAGGCCCCAAATCTGCCATGGGCCCCCGTACCGCCTCGTCACGCTGCTGCTGGGTCCACAGTGTGACATGGGTCCCTGTACCGCCTCCCATTGCTCCCACTCTGCCATGTGCCACTTTGAGGTCTCCTCACACTCCTGCTGGTTTCCATTTTGTCATAGGTTGCTGTATGGCCTCCCATAGCTGCTGCCTCCACCGCCACACTGTGGCTCCAAACGCTGGTTTTGGCCCCGTGACTGGCCAAATGAGTGAAGTGTGCGGTGATTCTAAGATCGACGGCACTCATCTGCATGTCATACTGACTGACAGTATTATTTCTCTTCCCCAGCAGACTCCAAGGGCATTTAAATTAAAGGTTCAGTGTTCTGCACTAATATTAAGTCTCTCTGAAGCCTAGAAACACCCTTTTTTAAGTTAAATTCACAGCGAATATATTCGACTCGAATCGAATATTTTCCACGAATTCGCCGAATCAGTCGAATCGAATTTTTGAATACTTCGCTCATCTCTAGTCACTAATATTCTTTAGCCTTTTGATGCAAATACTCTTGTTTATCAGCCTTTCCTATGTGATCAGTGGCGATCAAGTGTGCTCACCAAGCCTTCTTTGGAGCCCGCCTTTTATCGCCTCCAACGCATTACCACTAATGGTATATAGTATTGTTTAGTTGGCACATTGTAATGATTGACTTATATTACTTCCTCAGGTATGCGTAACTATAAGATATATCTATATTTTCGTTAAGCTAATTATCTCACTCAGTTGTATTTGTTTTGGCCATGGTGTAGCAATGCTTATGTTTTGTATTGTGCAAAACGTCAATAAAAATACACACTAAATGAATCATATTTGAAAGTACTGCTTATGATGTACTGTACTCACAGCTGTGATTGTTTTTCTGAAACACAATATAATAGGATTTTTATTGATGCCAAGTTTGAAATATATGATGGTAGAAAAAGGAAGTTTGCTATGAATAACTAGACGTTTAAATAGTTTGCTAAATAGTTAGGGGTTTTTTACCTTTGTTGTTTATTTAATTTTACACCACATAATTTCCATGGGACTTGGACATGTTTTGTGAAAATCTAAGTTAGATTTGAACTTGTCTGGAACTTGATCTGCTTAGACCTGGTCTAATACTGTCTACACCTGTGGCACTTTAGTTGCTTTGAGTCAGAATTCAGCCAAATACATTTTTTAGTTTAGGGGAAACAAACAAAAAAATGGAGTGGAATTCAGAGCTCCTACCTGTTATTCATTTGGAGGGACTGTCCCTCTTTTGGAATAAAGTCTCTCTGCCCCTCTTTCCTCCTCATTTGTCCCTCATTGTGGTCTGATGTATATATCCGTACAAAAATGCACTACTTATATAAAATTGTTTTGCAGTGCTAAATCTATCATCACATTTTCAACTTGTTCCATTTGTAAATTTCTAAAGCCAATATAAATGAATAGTAAGGGTAAAAAAGCACCAATCTTTTTTTTTTTTTTTATCAGTTCTCTATGCAAGAGGGAAGTGTCCTTTGCCTACATCCTTTTTCTATTATCTTGCCCATCTCAGAACGTTGGGAGGTATGGTGGAAGTATACAATATACTGTACAGTACTTTTCATTTGGTTGCTGGATACTGGAAAAATCAATTACAAACTTGTCAGGAGTAGCTTTATCCTCATAAAATATTATTCACCAGTCTTATATGTATCTGAAATATTTTACAGTAAATTACAATAAGTAATCAGAAGGTGAAATTTTAAATTTCATTGAAAATGTAAAAAAAACTCCCTATTAGGTTCTCACATACTTCTCATACTCATTCTCTGTGCTCTGAACATATAACTGGCAGCCAGATCAAAATATTTTAAGCAAAAAGTGTGCTTGGTATTGGGAAATGTTCATTTCCGTTTGGAATGCTGTACTGACAAAATTTGGCACCTAAGAAAATCACAAAATAGATCCTCAGCAGTTCTTACAGTGGAAGGTTCCTTTCAACAGACTGTTCTGATCAGGCCAGCCTATTAGTTTTTCAGGTGGACCTGATCAGATGGTCCATTCACCCCTATGGTCTAGCTAGTGTAAATGGATTTGTGTCCATTTACTACCTCCAATCTGGCCTGCTAAAAACAAATGGAAGTGGATCTGTCCTCCTTGGTGTAGGCCAGGGGTCTGCAACCTTTAAGACATAAAGAGCCACTTGGACCCGTTTCCGAAGGGAAAAAAAGACTGGGAGCCGCAAAACCATTGCAACATTTAAAACAAATCCGACACTGCATATATTGCAAAAAGCGCTCTGGTCATGAAGGGGGTTTAAGGGCCCAGTAAGCAAAGGGTTAATCAGGGCCACAGTGTATCGTCATAATCACAATCATAGCCTTAGGTCAGTGGTGGGCAACCTTTTTTTTCAACTGAGCCAAATCTCGCCAAAACCACGATTGAAATTTATTTTGAGAGCCACATTTTTAAAACTGAAAATACATCCCCCATATAGTAATTCATCCCCCATAGTAATTCATCCCCCATATAGTAATTCATCCCCCATAGTAATTCATCCCCCATATAGTAATTCATCCCCCATATAGTAATTCATCCCCCATAGTAATTCATCCCCCATAGTAATTCATCCCCCATAGTAATTCATCCCCCACATAGTAATTCATCCCCCACATAGTAATTCATCCCCCATAGTAATCAATCCCCCATATAGTAATTCATTCCCCATATAGTAATTCATCCCCCATCGTAATTCATCCCCCCTATAGTAATTCATCCCCCATAGTAATTCATCCCCCATAGTAATTCATCCCCCATATGGTAATTCATCCCCCCTATAGTAATTCATTCCCCATATTGTGTCAATTCACTTACCTTTGCTCTGCGTGTTCCTCTCGCCGTGTTCCCGCGCCGTTCCGGTCTTCAGGGCGGACTGTGAGAGGAGAGGAGTTCGTCACGCTGCCCCGCCTACATCCTGACAGCCAATGTTTGCCACGCTCCCCGGGCCGGATTAAAAGGTCCACTGGGCCGTAGTTTGCCCATTGCTGGGCTAGCTGCAGAGTCCTGACTTTTGAGGCGGCCGCCCGAGAGGAGGGAGGGGAGCGGGCGCCCGGCACACAGAAGAGCAGCATTAAAATGTGTAAAGACCCGCGGCTTGCTGACCACTGAGCTACGGCAACCCTATTGCCTGTCACCTGGTGGGCAGTGTGCTCCGGAGCCGCAGCAAAGGTGAAAAAGAGCCGCATGCGGCTCTGGAGCCACGGGTTGCCGACACCCGGTGTAGGCAAATCAGATTGGATGGCAGTTGGGTGTAAACGGACAGTGGAGTCCATTTACTCCGGGCCTCCAGTAGAGCACAGCATTCTCCATTGCAGTCTGTAGTGCCCATGCCCGCTCTGCAAAATCTGATCAGCAGATCTGTGAGAGAATGCCCTTCTGGTCAAAATGGAGTCAAAAAGGTGCCGAAAGCTAGTTTAGGTATGGTGCAGCATTGGTGACGTTACCTCCCCCTCTTTTTTATTCATTGTGACATATTATTATTATTATATAGGATTTATATAGCACCAACAGTTTGCTCAGCATTTTACAATATAAAAGGAGACAATACAGCAACAATACTGTTCAATATGAGAGGGCTAGGAGGGCCCTGCTCCTTGGAGCTTACAATCTAAAAGACATACAGTAACTATGATAAAATGTAAGCCCTTTATTTGCACATTTAAATCTTTCTCCAAAATTTGCATGGAATGTGTCAGATTTGGCTTTTTGTTTCTCAACTTTTTTGTGCCATACCAATACAAACAAAAGAAATAAACATGAGAATGCCTAAACATTTGTAATTCCAACAATTTTCTGGGCGAAGTGGTGCATTATGTGACAGAAATGCAGGGGTGCTAATATTTTTGACCATGACTGCATGCACTTTCCATTGCAATGTGTTTTCATGTGCTTAAGAACATTTTCACAAACTATGTGCTTGGCATCTTGGAAGCTGTGATAAGAACCTGACAAATTCCAAATGTACAGTAGCTAGGCCAGGAGCATATGGGTTGTTGCCTGAGAAGGGCCTCACTAACAATGCATTTGCAATGCATGAACATGCATGTATCCTGCGTTTCATGTGCTCCCATTAACCACTGTAAGCATCTCAATGCACATCAATGCATGAAAAAACATGCCTGAGTTATTTTATATGACGCATATATGTAAACCTAACCCACTGAACAAAACAAAGTGATGCCAAATAATATGCATTTTATTGTATCATAGCAGACGAGGTGTGAACAAGGACTCACTATTACATACTATCAAACTGTGAATAAAACAGTAGGGTCTGTTTATAAAAGATGATTGCTGTGCAAATGTGCCTTTGCACAACCACCAAAATATCGGTTAGGGAAACACTGCATTATGGCCACTAGTTGGATCTGCTGATCATAGAAAATAAACATATTGGACAGATTACAGGGATTATTTGCGACAGCTGGGGGAATGTTGTATTTTTTTAATAACTAGACCCCTTAGTTTTTACTATGAAGAAATGAACAATCAGCGAACAACAGCAATGGAATCAGTGTAGAGATTATTGTATCGACTGATGTTTTCTGTCAGTAGCACATTTTTTATTTTTTGCCAGAATAAGCTTTCTGCATGTGGATTTGTAGGCCATTCCAGAATAGAACTTTTGCAAATTTTTTTCCTCAGCCTGAGATACTGGGAATGCTGTAAAACAGGCTGTAGTAAAATTATGATTATCACATCCCGATTTTCATCCATTAGTTTTTGCATAGCCAGATAAAATGCTGTTCTGAATTTTCCACTTTTCACATAGTTTTTAGTGAGAACAAACAGAGTTTTTTTGCTTTGGTTAATGCTTTCAGCAATGTTATCGACTATAGCCTTTCCTGGCTCCCAATCTCTTTCCTCTAAGCAGAGAAGTATGTGTTTGCCTCCTCTGTTCTCTAGCTGGTCACATAGGTCATTAATGACCCAGTCACTGACAGCCAGATCCTTCTCATCATATGTGATAAATGCATCATATATAGTTTCTGAACTAGGGACTTTGCTATACATTAGCCTTGCCATACACCAGTGGTATATATACCATATATCCCAGTAAAATAAATTACTCATAATTGGCAATACAGTCAATGGGACAATTAAAACAAATGATACAAGAAACAGTAGTAGTTCTGTGAAATCCATATTACAAGTGTGTATATCAAAAGAGATAATTCCATGCTTCTTCCATTTATCTGGTGTGGCACACGTGACATCAGTGGCCAGCCGAGGAATATTAACATTGTTGCTATTAATCCAGTTTATGAAGTCAACAATTTCACAGGTACACTCAAAAGGATTTCCTTTCAGTCTTAAAACTTTTAAATAGTTTTGATTACCAGACAAAAAAATGGATTTATTTATATTTTGAATGTGATTGTAACTTAAATCAAGGTCAGTGAGGCTATGGAGCCCAATAAGAAATGCATCTGTCAAAGTTTGAATATAATTATGATTTATGATTAGAGTCTCCAGTGACATTGTATAATTTCTCAAGTGTGCTATTATCATTGTAATCTTATTGTGACTTAGGTCAAGAATTTTGAGGTTTTTAAAGCATGTCAGGTTTTTCCAACCAAAAAACACTAGTTCATTATGATGTAAGTACAGCTCTGTAAGATTTTCAGGCAGTTGGCACAGTGCTTCATCAGGAATGGTGATAAGTCTGTTGTAAGAGATATCAAGAATTGAAAGATTTGTAAAATTATGGAAAAGACCCGTGTAGCGATGGTCATCTTTTTTCCACAATACATCCAGACGGTTTCCAGCAAACCTTAATTCTTTTAGGGAGGAGCTATAAACTTGGGGCTCAGTTAGAGTCGAGATTTCATTCCAGCTTAGGTTAAGAACTGCAAGTTTGGCCAGGTTTTCAATGAATTTAAGGTGGTGAGTTACACCTTGTACAATGAAATAGTGTTTGTTATAACTCACATCTAATACCTCCAATTTTTTCAGTTCCTGAAAAGCATTGATGGAAGCAAAATCCAGTTTATTGAATGATAAATCCAAGTATGCTAGGTTTTGCAAGTATCTAAATTCTGTCCCATTTAAATCTTGACCCATGCCATTCGAAGACAAATTTAGACAAGCTATATCAGAAAACGGATGGAATTCTTCAGGGTCAATAAAAAAAATACTGTTCAGACTTAGATCCAATGTTTTGCCATATCTACTACACAGGGGTTTTACCAGATTGTTCATTGGAGTAATTATTCCTGAAGGTACTCTACTAAAATGTTCTACACCATTATATATTATGTCAGATGGCTGATTGTTGTAAAATGCTTGTAGTCCCTGGGTGTTGTAGGCATTCTCTGAAAAAGGCGTTATTCTATTTTCGGACAAGTAAATTATTGCTAGGCTTGGAAAATTTTCAAACACTTTAAAGTCAACCTGGCAAACAAAATTAATGGATAGATTTATAATGTTTAATTTGTTTAATTTGTTTAGCTTGTAAGAGGAGCCAAGTTTTTAGATGTGATGTCTTTAAAAACATAACCTTGTATATGCAACTCTCTGAGGGATATTAATTTAGAAAAATTATCAGAAATATTAATATTATTTGGATATGCCTGCAAATTGTAATTAAATGACAAGTCAAGTTTTTCTAAGGATGGTAAGTAAGAAAAAAAGTCTCCTGTTGCCATTTCAGTCATTAGGTAATTTAATCTAAGATTTAATTCCTTCAACTGAGTCAGGTTTTGAAACCATGTTTTTGATACAGTAGTAAGTGAAGTACTTCCAAGATGGAGCATGGTCAAGTTTTTTAAAAATTGGAAAGCAAAGTCATCTATTTTCAGAGGGCCATTGCCAGTGCAGGATTCACAGGGATATGCAGCATTATAACATCTTGGACAATTTCCACTTAGTAGAAGAACTTCCAAATTGACTAAGTTTTTGAAATCGCCTCTGTGAATAACTTTTATTCTGTTATTGCTTAGGTAAAGTTGTTTGAGTGATGAAGGCAGATGCAAAGGCACGCAGCTTAAGTTGTTAAATGAGAGGCTAAGTATTTTTAATTCCTTGAGATCAGAAAATGTTCCATTTTCAATATCAAGAACACCTGAGCATGCATTGCCATAGTAACAGTTATGGCCTAGGTAAAGTTCCTCCAGATATCTGAATCTTGAGAGACTTGTTTTATTGATCAATGCAATGTTGTTGTACTGGAAACTTAGTATTTTAATGTTCTTTGGCAATCCCTTGGGAATTTCACAGAGATAGTTGTGATCAATGCGAAGATGTTCTAGCTTTGTTAAATTGGCAAACGTTTCATTATTGATCTCCAAACCTCTTTTGCATATACTGCTATTATCAAGTCTTGCCTTTGAATAGTGGTTCCAGTTAAGGTTTATTTTTGTAAGGTTCTCCCATAATTGAAAAGAGGGTTTAAAAATAGTCTCAATACGGTTTTGAAATAACAGAAGTTCCACAGCATTTGATGTGTAATTGGTAGGAGAAGGTACTGTTTTCAGATTTCGAGCACTGCAGTCAAAAATAACAGAAGTGGTATTTTCAGTGATTGAACATGGTATAGTTCTGTTCGTTGAAATTGTGCTAGAAATTCCAAGGAAGCCGCAGTTTATTAGTAATGCACACAACAGAGTCTTTAATAGGCTTAACATGTTGTCCTGAAAAAAAAAATTAAATTAGATTTAGGCATTACAGTTACCAAATTGAACATTGCTTTTTCAATTAGTTTTACAAACAGCAACGAATAAAGAATAGTTATTAGCCTGGTAGTTTATTCTCATTTAAATATTATATTTCAGGAAGTGAACATAACATACAAGTAATCTTAAAGAGAAACTTCACTCTGCCTAAGCCCCAAAAATAAAAAATTCCTAATACAAACTGTCCATGAAAATATGCATACATGGCAACCCTTCCTAAATGATGCCATGTGCAAGAATCACTACTGCTTTTGGCAAATAGGCAATAGGGATAAGGCTTGGATTTGCCATTACCATGGAATCGACGTGAGTTCTGTAGTTTTGCATTAATGCTACTGGTAAATTTTGTGCAGATTCAGCATGGAGAACTTTTCTTTTAAACATACTGCACTGTATGGTCTTTGAACTGTGGCCAGCAAGCTAAAAAGGGACAAATAAGGAGACTTTTTGATAAGCCAGCCCCTTTACTATACAGTAAAAGGGGGAGGACAAAGCACCCAAGTGTTTTAGAAGGTGCTGTAGATACTAGGATAAGGACAGCTGGCAAACTGCTCAGGAAGAGATTAGAGTGAGTTGATAAACTGTACTTTAAGGCCTCCTTCCCCCAGTTGATGTGCATACAGCGTATTCCAGCAGCAAGGATCCTTGGATTTCAGCAGCTGGGATCACAGGTGAACAGCAGTAGCCACTCAGCCTGTACAAGGATATGATAGGCTAGGAGGAGCCATCTCTGTTCGCATATACTATCTTCACAACCCATGGTTATCTGCAGTCAGGGATGGATGCATGATCCTGGATGCTGGAATCTGCTGTATGCACATAATCGCCCATGTGAGGGAGACCTAATTCTGATTGATAGCTCTCTGGACAATTGACCTTAGTGATGCCTTTTTTGCTTTTATTATTGAGGACTTTTTGTCTTTACTTGTTTTTTGTAGTTGATTTTGGGTTTGATGTTACTTTTAGTTGTTGTCCCGATCATATCAAACCTTCTTTTTCTGGGAGGAGCTGCAAAGTTGCATAAAAATAGGTTTTGGATATAGAGGGGTGGTAATTTAAAATTTTCATTTCTTTTGTTATTTTTTTGTGTTGGTAGGGTCTTTGGGGTGCTCACTTTCACCCAGATGATGTGCATACAGTGTATTCCAGCAGCAAGGATCCATGGATTTCAGCAGCTGGAATCACAGGTGAACAGCAGTGGCCATTCAGCCTGTACACAGAAATGATAGGCTAGGAGGAGCCATTGCTGTTTGCATATATCTTAACAACCAGTGGTTATCTGCAGTCAGGGATGGATGCGTGATCCTGGATGCGGACATTTGTTTCTGGAATCTGCTGTATGTACATAATCGCCCATGTGAAGACCATTTTCTGGGCAATTTTTCTTAGTGATCCTTTTTTGCTTTTATTATTGGGGACTCTTTGTCTTTAGTTGTATTTTGTGGTTGATTTGAGTTTTGAGGTTACATTTAGCTGCTGTCCTGATCATATCAAACCTTCCATTTTTTTGTGAAGGAGGCTGCAAGGCTTCAAACATGGGGTTTTGATTTAGAAGGGTGGTATTTTGGGTTTTTCATTTATTTATTTTTTTTATGTTGGTAGGGTCTTTGGGGTGCTCAAAGTGCAGCATTTACTTGTTAATGACTATCTGTTCTCGGAACTGCTTTTTATTCAGAAACAAAAGGACAGGAGCACATTAACATCTTCAAATATCACAAACGTTCACTGCATCCCACTATTTCTTTTGATAAAAGACAAGGTAGGAATTCATTTTTCTTTTTTTATAAGTAATCACATAATCTCTGTATTCAACTGCATAAGGGGTTCGGAGAGGTAAGGAGGAGAAGCAACAGTACACTGAACTTCCCAGTGATTAGGTGTGTGGTGGGGGGAGGGGTGTCAGCACAAGTCTGATCATTGAAGGACAGGCAGGCTGCTCTCCCCGCACAGCCAGAAAACTGACCACAATGAGATAGATGTGCTGTTATGTCCAGAGTGATCAGTTTAAGATAGGGAAGTGTGTGTGGGGGGGGGGGGGGGGACTGGCACGATCACCAGGTCTTTCACACAAAGGAAGCAATACACAGAGAACATGATACTTTTTAACACAAGTACATGGTACAAAGAACATATATAAGGAAAATGAAATGTGGTTACACATTCTGTAAACCAATTATTCCTGATTTAAATAGTCCTGCTGCTGTCCAACTTTGAAGTACTGTATCCACTGCAGTATTTAAAAAAATGTTGTATTAAAGCCGTGACCTGTGTTTTGTGTCTCAAATAATTTTGGCCTTGCTAATTAAAATTGTCCTGCTGCTAGCCAATTTTACATCACTGTATCATCTGTGGTCTCTTTATTCTTAATGAGAGTTTGAAAGAAATTGGCTAGTAGCAGGACATTATGAGCAAGATCAGGGACAGCCTCAGAGAACTACTTATCAATCTCCAAACAAATCAGATTGGGATGCTGCTGTTCTATGTACAGTAAGTCACCCTGATTTAAAAAAAAATTATGAATTCCACAACTAAATATATGTTGCAAGTGTACACTGTTGTTGAGACTGTCTGTAAAAATCATATTGTTCGTTAACACCATATATAGCATTTATGCATCTGCCAAGCATGTTATATAAATTTGTGTATTTTCAATTTGTCTTCTAAGCTGCATGAAAAGAACTTCTACCCACTATATGATCATTTTTTAAAACATTTTTTGCATTGGTATATGCACCTTATGACAGTGTCCAGCTTCCCATGCCTTTATAGAACATCAGTTTGCCTATTACGCCTAAAAACTAATGTAATAAGAGGAGTCACTAAACATAGACTTTAGTGGAATTCCCTAATAAGTTTACGTCCGATTCACATAATTCTCTCCAGACCCTTGGTGCATAGAACATGGGCAGGTTCACCCAGCCTTAGGGCTCATGTACACTGCAGCTTCTAAACTGAAGGTTAGGAGCAGTTGTGCTTTTTTTCAGCAGCCCCTGAACTCTCCTTTATGTTTTCCTATGTGTCCATGTACACATAGTCGTTTACAGTAGTTTACAGGCAGTTGAGGTTCCAGGCATTTATTTGAAAGCACAAAAATCATGTTCAGGAGTAGAGTTTATCAGCTTTTCAAACACCAAATGCTTGTAACTGTGTGTAAATGCTTGTAAACGTGTGTAAACGCATTTATGCACGTTTGCGGTTAGACTGATCCATATCCAGATGCTGTCCAATGCTTTTTTTCCTTCATCAAAAATGCATGCACAGCATTTTCCATGTATTCAAATGGACCTAGTACACCAGCACAGTCAGTTCCAGGTTTCGCGTGAAGCAAAAAATGGTAGAATGTACTGCATTATGCTCATAATGGGATCCATAGTGAATACAACCAGAAAAGACAGGTAATCTCAACACATACTGCTCTCTCTGCTTCTGCTCTCTCTATTTCTCACAAAATGTATCAAATAGTTAATTATTTACTATGCATTCTGGGCATTTGGGAGGGTCTCCAAAGGTTATCTTTTAAAAACGCTT